CCTCCCCCTTCATACTCCCCCCATCTCTGACTCTTTTGAGTTCTTTTGTTGTGTCTTCAAGCTGAAGGCCTAGCAGACAGAGCCCTCTCACCTGCCCATGTCTGCCAGAGCAATGTTGCGGCAGCTCCCAGCTCCCCGCTCCCCATGCAGTGGCCCCGTCCCCGGCCCCCACTTCTGACAGCACAGCCCACTTGGCTCCTGAGAAGTACCCACTTGGCTCCTGAGAAGTGCCCACGTGGCACACCTCACCCCTGCCCCTGCTCTGCCTGCCACCTCTCATGGCACCAAAGGAGCCTTTGTCTCTCCTCATGGGGACTCTCAGCAGATGCTGACATTCTGACTGAAACAGATTTGTACAATCATGGAATCTGAAGTGGAGACCCAGGTCCCAGTGTTTCAGTGGGTCTTTAAAAAAGAAAGAAAGAGAGAGAGATGGAGAGAGAGAGAGAGAAAGTGAGCAAGAGCACGAGAGGAAAGAGGCAAAAGCTGAGAGGTAAAACTTACAAACTTAATTTCCCCTCACCAGCATCCACACTCCCAACCTCCTGGAATTTCCTCTCTTCTTTCTGATTTTTAATCTCTTCTTTTCCTCTCTTTTCTCTCCCTCTTCCCCTTTCACTCCTTTCCTTCACTTCTTTCTCTGTCTCTCTCTCAGCTCTGACACGAACATCACCCCCCCACCCTCCTGTCCTCCTCTCCCCTTCTTTTTTTAAGTTTTTTTTTTTTTCTTTTAACTTTCAAGGTCATTCCGGACTCCTGACGCCGCCAGTCCCGCGGTGAGACGTGAGCACCATTGGCGTCCGTGGCCTCTGTTTCCGTGGCAACCCAGTAACCATTAATTTTCAATTAAAGGAGACAAAAAGCTCGATGACAGCTCCAGGTCTGCTGAAGATGTCAAGAATCTGTATTAATATACAGCAAGAGAGCATAATTGTGTGTCCATCTTCCAGAGCAGCGAAAAATGGAGGGATAATTACCAGCTCGAAAGCCACTCTGTAATTTAGTTCTTACTGTCACCACAGCCCTACACATTAGCATAAATTAAAAGCAGAGTTTATTGTTATCAAAGTGCATTGATATCGCCAGACCTGCTTTCTTCCTTTTAACTGTTTGTTGTGGGTGAGTGACTCCCCAACTCTTGCCAGGGTCTCCCCGGAGTGGGAAGAGTGGAAGTGTGGCTGCTAGACCTGAAGGGTCTAGCTGCCAGCCTCCCTCAGGGCAGGTGGGGACAAGGGTCAGGGTGTTGCCCCTCTGATAGGGCCTGGGGATGATTCGGGGGATGGAGGAGGCTTGGATATTTATTCACCTTTCACATGTAAGTGCTTTGTTTTACCTATGAGCACTCCAGCCCTTGCAGAGGGGGCTGCTGCCCCATCGCAGGTCCCCCTTTAGTGCCTAGTACAGTGCAGGGCAGGTGATGAGTGCTCTAAGGCAACCTGTTAAACAAAGGAATGAGTGCATGTGTAGGGGTATCCCCCATGGGGTGAATGTCAGTGGCGAGACCTTGCATTCCCTGTTCAGGGTGTGGCTAGCTCAGGTGAAGATGTTCCTGTCTGTGGCCCAGTTCCTGCTTGGCCACCCAGGACCCCAGCTCCTCAGAGGGGTCCCTCTGGACCCCACACCCCTAATCTTGCCGCTTGGCCTCCCACCTCCATGGTCTGGGTCCTGCCGCGGCCACTGCCTTCATACTCACCTCTGAGTGGTTGGAGCACCTCGAAGTGTCTCGCTGCCAGAGTGCCAGTGACAGCCACAGAAATCATGAATTTCCGTGAATGGGGGATGCGGAGTTTTCTTGTATTCTATCCAGAGAGAGCTGTCCTTCAGAGGGGAATTTAGTGTAATTACCCTTAAGGGAGCGATCCTTACACAGTCAGTCACAACACTGACCTCCTGGCTGAGATTTGACAGCAAAATTGCAGGCTGTGTACTCAACAGAAGGGGCATCCTCCTTTTTTGGGGGTTGATGGGGGAGGTGGGAAGGAAGGAGGAGGAGGGAAAGGAGACTCAGAGGCTTTGAAAAGAAAAGTGCTGGCTTACAGCTGCCAGGCGAGCGGGTTCTCCTTGGCAAGGCGTCTACAGGGCAAGGAGAAGGTGTCCAGAGATCCCCTGGCACTTCACTTGGCTCATAAAAGGGGCCAAATTAGGCACTCCGGCCCTTCAGATCTTTGAGCTCTGGTTTGTGATCTTAGCTAAAGTTAATCTTATTGTAAGAAGGATTTGGAAGGTACTAGGCACTATTTGATAAACTTCTCAGGCATGTTTTCCCAAACATATCTGTCCCTTGGTCCCTCCCCGGTGCTAGAAGTTCCACCGTTCCTTTTACCTGTAAGCTGACAGATCCAAGACCCTGTAAACCTGCACCTGGGTTATCTGGAAGGACTAATGTGCTAATCTGTGACCACTCTGAATTTAGCATGGATGCATCTCTCAGATGTGCTGGCCCATCACATGACTGAATCCAAAGGACACGGGGATCAGGCAAGTTTCCGTGAAGGATTGGAAAAAATCTAGTGTATGGGTAGATCTTGATGGACTGTGAAACCTGGGAAGGAATGGAGGTAAATCCCCAAATCTCAAAGCTGGAAGGGACCCAGAAGCCAATGGGTCTGAACTTCGCAGAGGAGTCACCACCTCTCTGTTCTACCTCTATCCACAACACAGGGCTGAGTGCGGTGACTCACGCCTGTAATTCCAGCACTTTGGGAGGCCGAGGTGGGAGGATCACCTGAGGTTAGGAGTTCGAGACCAGCCTGGCCAACATGGCGAAACTCCATCTTTGCTAAAAATGCAAAAATTAGCCAGGCATGGTGGCACGTGCCTGTAATCCCAGCTACTCGAGAGGCTGAGGCAGGAGAATCACTTGAACCTGGGAGGCGGAGGTTGCAGTGAGCCGAGATAGTGCCATTGTACTCCAGCCTGGGTGACAAGAGTGAAATTCTGTCTCAAAAAACAAAGCAAAGCAAAACAAAACAAACAAACAAAAACAACTCGGCCACCTCTGCCTGCGCAGTTCCTAACAGCAGGAGCTAGCTGTCCCTATAGAGGTCCATCCTGCTGTTACATAGCACGGACCATTGCCAAATTCCTCCTGAGTTCAAATGAAAATCTATGTCCATGAAATTTCTTCCTTCCTTTTGGAGCCCCTTTGGAACAAATCTAGGCTTTCTCGGGAGGGACAGCCCTTCAGCTACATGGGGACCATGCTCAGCTATTCATCATCTTCTCCTCCAAGTCTGGGACCCAGTAGACTCATCACCTCTGCCTCATCCTTTTGGGAAAGTGCCCAAAAGGAGTCTGAAAGGGCACAGGACGGCCCCAAATGCAAACCCAATGTTTATTGAGCATCTGCTATGTTCCAGACAGAAACACCCACCATATCTCTTTTCTCTTTTTTCTTTTTTTGGAGACGGAGTCTCACTCTGTCACCCAGGCTGGAGTGTAGTGGCACGATCTCAGCTCACTGCAACTTCCACCTCCCGGGTTCAAGCAATTATCCTGCCTCAGCCTCCCGAATAGCTGGGACTACAGGCGCATGCCACCACGCCCGGCTAATTTTTTGTATTTTAGTAGAGGTGGGATTTCACTGTGTTGCCCAGGCTGGTCTCAAACTCCTGAGCTTAGGCAATCCGCCTGCCTCGGCCTCCCAAAGTGCTGGGATTACAGGCCTGCGCCACTGCGCCTGGCCCCATATCTCTTTTCATCCTCTCCACCAATTCAGTGAAGGGAGGATATATTATTCCCATTTTACTGTAGAGAAAAGAAGGACCCAAGAAGTTTCAAATCGCTTGCCCAAATCACCTGCCAGCAAAGGGCAGAGCCAGAACTGGGAGTCCAGACTCCTGACCCAGGCCAAGGACTTTCCTTGAGAATCCAGCTGCACTGGTCCATATACCCCTTGGGCACCACTGGGTTTGGGGAATGAGCTCTGCCATCTTTCTCCTGTCTTTCCACCTCCATGACGCTGTTCTGCAGAGCCTTTCTCTCCACTTGGCAGGGAGAAGGAATTCCAGGGGAAACCCAGCTTAAGTCCTGCATCCTCCCTGAAGGCTTCCCTGCCCATCCCAGGCCTCAGTAACTGCTTCAGTAAAATGACAACACTGGACGTTATTTACTGACCACAGGACCATGCTTCAGCACCTACCCTAAGGTATTTGATTCAATCCTCCAGACATTTGCCCTGGCTGAGGGTTCTGCCTGAGCTTCTCTCCCCTCAGATACCTGCATCTCCTTCAAGGACCACCTTCTCTGGGAGGTCCAACCTAACCATCCTTTCCCAGGTTTTTGTACCCGCTCTATTTCTTTCTATAGCTCATGTCACCTTCTGAAGAGTATTTAATTTACTGATTATTATGCTCATTGCCTATCTTCCTCCTCTTTAAGTTCCAAAAGGACAGAGGCTGTATTTTGTGTACTGTTGCATCCCAAGCACCCAGAACAGTGCCTGACATACAGTAAGTGCACAAGCCATATTCGTCAAACGACAGGAGGAAAACTCAAAACCCTTTGAGGCAGGTGTGTTGTTTTCATAGCAGAGAGGAACTAGGGCTGTAGTTCTGGGTTAGGTGGCTTGTCCAAGGTCACAGAGCCGGCCATACCCAGCTGTGTATTGGGCTGCTGAGTATGAGGCTGTTTGGGATGGGCCTTGAGCCTGAGCCTGTTCTGAACACTGTGTGTGTGTGTGTGTGTGTGTGTGTGTGTGTGTGTGGTGGCTTCCTAGGGGATTTCTGCCTGCATTCCAACCAGCAGGTCCTTCCGGGCACCCTCCCCTCCTTTACAGGGCTTCTTCCCTTCCTGCAGCTCCTTTCAGTCCCTGCTTTTTTGCCCCAAGCCTGGAGTGACCTGCAAGTGCAGTCCAGCTCACCTCCCTCCCCTGAGCACATGGGTCCCTGCCTGGGCTGAAGTCCACACTGGGAGCCCAGGGTGCCCCTGGAAGGCCCCCACCCTGGCCTCCGAGTGGCTCCTCTCCCCAGAGATGTAAATCCGGGCCCCAGAGTGGCCACACAGAACATACATCTTAAACAAACACTTCTCCTTGCTGTTTATCTCCCTGGCTTTTAAACAAACTCTTTCAAAGGTTTCTGCTGATAGGAAAGATTTACTGAAAACCATTCCTTGCTTAAAAGCCCCGGGTTTATGCTGCTGGGGTGGGGGCAGTGGGGCCTTCAGGCCTGGGGTTTCTCTGCCTCCGGACCACATGTTTATCCTCCAGGCCTTGATAGAGGAGCAACACAGGCTAATCTTTATGGAAAAGAAAATAATAAAAGCAGGAAAGGGGAGGAGTGGAGGCTGGGGGACATTTGGTTCTTGTCACTGACTCCAAGAGGCTGTGGCAGGTCCGGGTGTGGCAGTGCCCACCACACTGTAGCCCTGCCTGTGGGGGGTGGGGTGAGCTGAGCATCCAGGAGGGGTGGGGCTCCCTTGAACTTTGGACAGAAGGCCCTTAGGCAGGTGAGCCTCTTCTCCGGCTTCCAGAGGCCAGGGTGGGCCTCTCCCTGCTGGATGGGGGGTGGAGGGAGGGCAGCAGTCACATGATCCTGTCTATTCCTGCATCAACCAACACTCAGAAGGCACCTAGCCTGTGCCAGGACCTGGGGGTGGAGAGAGGAATAGTTGTTAACATTTACTTCAGCATTTCCGTGGGCCTGGTATAGTTCTAAATCACTTACATGAATCAACTCATATAATGGCCCCAGAAGTAGATTCTATAATTATCTCGGGTTTGCATATGGGGAAACCAAGTCACAGAAAGATTACTGGCCATACTCCAGAGGTTTTGGTTTAACTGGGATGCAGGCTGGGCATTGGATTCCTGGATGCATCCTAAGTGGGAAACTATTGCTGTAGAGATTGACATTCCCATTTCCCACCCACTCCCCACTTGTCCTCCCAGTAATACAGTATCTCATCCATTTCAAGGTGTCTCACAATTCATTGACAGCGGTATTTCTTTCTTAGTGGATCATAAAATAATGGTGCATCTTACACATAAAATAATGGTGCATCTTACACATAAAATAATGGTGCATCTTCAACAAAATATAGCAATAGACAACTAACCTCTACCAACTGTGGGGCCTGGGCTGGATGATTTGCATCCATTATCTCATTTAATCTACCTCCCAAAGCTTCAAGATAGGTCACAGGAGCACCTCTGATGAGAAAACTGAGGCACCAAGAACTCAATAACCTGCCCAAGATCACCCAGCTGGTGGGAGGTGGAGGCAGGATTTGAATCCACAATTAAATGGCCTAGTATTTATCCCTGACCCTTGTAGAGCGCCTTATATGTTTCAAACTGTCTTCCCACCTGTTTTGTCCATTGAGGAAGACACTGAAATCCAGAAAGGTTAAGTGACCTGCTCTAAGTTACACATCTGACTTCTCAAACTATAACTGTGGGAGAACCATGGAAAGTGGGTTTTGTTATTGTTGTTGTTGTTTGCTTGTTTTAAGCCTACCTGGGCTTTTATAGCTAGAAGTCACTCCTAAGAGAACATGATCAGGAAAGTGGGCCAGGGCAGGGGCCCCTGAGAGTGTGGCCATCCTGGGGTCTTGGGTGCTGAAAGTTGGAGCCAAGGTCTGTCGTGGGACCTCCCAAGGGCGGAGGACCTGAGCAGGGGCAGATGTCATTGCAAAGACTCCACTGACTTCCGTCTCTGTTTTGTTTGTGAAGCGAAGTTGCTGCAGTGGCAGGTGGGGAGACAGCAGAAGGCCAGTAGGAATTTCCAGTCCTTCCCTGGGCCCATAGCTCAGGCCGGAAGCCACTCCCTTCCTCCATGTTTACATGCAGCAGGCCACACCCCTCGAGATGGCACAGACTGACACCCCCTTTCGGTCCCCCTGCTCCAGGCCAAATACTTTTTCACTCACGTTAAAGCACCTTTCAGCACTTGGGCCCTGAGCTGGGATTTCCAGGGAGGAAAGAAGGGAGAGGGTATGAGGAGGAGGCTGGGGATGGGTTGAGGGAAGGTGGGGAGCTGCGGGTAGTTGAGACTAGGACGAAGTTATGTGGGTGATTGTCTTGCACCCATCATCTTTCTTTTTGTATTATTCTTTCCTTATATAGTGACATCCAGTTTCCAAAACCTTTCCTTCCTCCTAGCAACTTTTGCCCTAAGATACTTAATTCACACCAAGGTAAACATGACCGATAACAGTTTCCAAAGTGATCCTTTCAAGGGCATTTTGGCAGTGGCCTCTTCATTTGTTCATTCATTCTTTGATTTGCTGAACAATTTCCTTTGGCATTCCTAGAGACCCTCCATCCTATCTCGAAGCCTTAGCTGGGACACCTCTAAGCTGTTTGGTGGGCTGCTGTCCAAACTCTGAGCTTTGTGGGTAATGACACCCACACCCTCTGACAGCATATAGGTATATTGGCAGCAACCCAAGCTGTCTTTTTTTGCACCTTCAATGGAAGGAAAGGTAATTTCTCCTCATGAAAAAAGATTGGGAGACTTTGCCTAAATGAAAAGGGAGGTGCTTTAATGATAGATCTCCAGGCATCAAATCCATCAGTCCCTCTGAGTCTGGTCATGGGCTGAGCTCCCCAGGGCAGCTGAGCAGGAGCACATCCAGGACATCAGAACTTGGGGTAGAATTTCCACTCCGCTGGCCCTCAGGGCTCTGCATAGATTTCTCTCTCTGTCCTTCTTGGCAGGGAAGTGGTTGATAATGAGGAAGACCCTGAGCTCAGAGCTGGAAGATATCCAGGGAATCATCTACCCAGTAGTTTGCAGAGGACAGAATGACTCAAAAGTATACCGAAATCCAAAATATAAAACAGCTAAGAGTTATAGCTCCAGTTGAAGGCAAAGGTCTAGACCCTGCCTCCTCTGCTCTCCCACTTGGCCCATAAGTGGTCCAAAGCTTTCCTGTGGACCTCGAAAGCTCAGGAGAACACAAATAGAATCCGCTAAGCCAGTCTAGTGATCCATTTTATAGACAAAGAAACTGAGTCAGAGCATGATGGGATGGATGAGAGTCCTTAGGGCCCTCCACCCTCCCATGATCGCTTCTGGTTCACGTTCATTCCCTGAACTCATAATGTATCCTTCTTTCTAACTTGACCTGCACAATTCTACAGACTCTTCAGGCTCAGCTCAAATGTCACCTCCACCATGGAGTGTTCCTCAATTCTCTCTTCCAGTTCTGGCCCTACTCCCACCCAGTTTGGTGTTCCCGGAGCTCACTGCTTTTGCATCTTTCTTAAGTTCAACCTCTCATTTCTGCTCATTTGAAGCAGCTCTTTCTCTGTTGTCAGGCTGTTGGTCTCCTCAAGGTCAGGAGCTTTTCAAAAAATCCCAAGCCTCCAGCCCATGAGTAGGTATGTAATCACAGTGAGGCTGCTGACATGTGTTCTTGGGTGATGGTGAGATGCTTTGCCCACTGGGGTCAGGGTCACCCTACTGGACGGCCCTAGTTCTCATCAATTTGGTGGGGAGGGCATTGACTTTGATTAAACAGTTACTTGGATACCTGAGGTAGGGCAGGGAAGTGGGTACAAAACCTTCAGAGCCTGGGAAAGAGGGACCCTTCTGCTCTAAACTGTCCACTCGCTCCATCCTCAAGAAGATGGAGAGCAGAAACAGGGGTAGGGGAAGAGAGCTGGGCCCCGCATACTTCCCACCATCACTGATTTCCCCCTTCTCTGGCATTTTAAGAGCTCAGACTCAAACCCTTCAAGGGCTTTTGAAACAATTAGATTAGAAAGTACCCACTGCTCGGTCTAATTGCTTAAAAGCCACTTGAGGCTCCAACTGACCCAGAGTAAAGCCTGGGGGGTGGGCAGCGGGGAGGGGAGACCCGAGACACTCTGTCGCCCTGTTTCCCAGGCTTTTCTGGACAACCAAGCCCTACGTGAGTGATGGTGCCAAATAGGGGCCTTCGATTATTCCCGTGGGGCAGAGCCACCATATTCTTCCTGCCCCTTTCCCAGCCCTTGCCCCCAGGGAACCGCTCACATCTAACCTTTCTCTAAGATACCTTCTTATGCAAATTTCAGCATTCCTAGGGGTGATTGGAGCACTTATGTCCAGAACCAATTTTCAGTGTCAGAAAGTGGACTGAGCCAGTGTAAAGAGGCCCAGAAGTATCAGGAGACAAGCTTTGGTGTGTCCAACTCAAGATGATGCTTTGCTTCTGGGATATTCTGAGATGGGGGATTTTGCAATATCTAAGTCAGTTCCGTCTCTCCATGCTTTCCTGATTACTCTTCTCCCGAGTTCCTTTAAATACACACACACACACACACACACATACACACATACACACGCATGTATTTATTTATTTTGTTTGAGACAGGGTCTCGCTCTGTCATCCAGGCTGGAGAGCAGTGGCATGATTATAGCACACTGCAACCTTGACCTCTCAGATTTCAATTGATCCTCCTGCCTGAGCCTCCCCAGTAGCTGGGACTACAGGACTGTGCCATCACATCCAGCTAATTTTTGAATTTTTCATAGAGATGGGGGTCTTACTATATTGCCCAGACTGGTCTCAAACTCCTAGCCTCAAGTGATTCTCCTGTGTTGGCTTCCCAAAGTGCTGGGATTATAGGCATGAGCCACCATGCCCAGCTTTAAATATAGTTGCTGCGTAAAATTCTTCTCTCTGGCTTAAGATCTTGCAATGGCTCCATGTTAGATAGGAGCCATTGCAATGTTAAGCTACAGAGAAGTTCCCCCAGCCTTCCAGCCCCTCTGTAGTTTGCTCCCACCTCACCTTTCCAGCTCCATCTACCCTGTGTGCCCTCAGCTCAAGCCCACTGTGGTGCCTTTTCACAGGCCATGCTCTTGGCCTCCATTCTTTCACCATCTGAATGAAGTCATGTGTTTATGTGCCCAGCAACAGGCCAAGCAGAGGGGATACTGAGATGAATGAGCCACAGGCCCTGCTCTCAGGGGGACATATTCTAGCTGGGACATGAAAACATAAACAGAAGATTCCTTTGCCAAATTCTTCTTGAGCACCTCTATGTGTCAGACCTGAGGACACTGAGGTGGACAAAACAGATAAAGTCCCCACTTTTGTGGAGCTTAGATGGTTGAAGGAGAAACAGACAGAAACACGTAAGCAAAGAAATATACAATCTGCCATGGGGAGATTAATGTGTGAAGGAAAACAAAGTAGGGGGGAAGAGAAGGACCTTGGAGGTGAGGATATTTGAGCAGAAACCTGAATAAAAGGAAGGAACTGCCTGTGCAATGGTCCTGAGGCAGGAATGCCTTTGAATTTAACGAGGAGCAAGGAAAGAGACCAGTGTGATTGCAGAAGAGTGAGGGAGGGAAGGAGGAAGGGAGAAGAGTAGAGGGAGCAGGGGGCAAATCATGAAGGATGCTATAGTCCCGGCAGGTCTTCAGATCCTATAGTGAGATGAGAGCCACTGGGGATATTGAGCAGGGGCTGATGTCAGTAAACATGTCCTTTTTTTTTTTTTTTTTGAGACGGAGTTTTGCTCTTGTTGCCCAGGCTGGAGTGCAGTGGCGTGATCTTGGCTCACTGCAACTTCTGCCTCCCGGGTTCAGGCGATTCTCCTGCCTCAGCCTCCCTAGTAGCTGGGATTATAGGCACGTGCCACCATGCCTGG